AAGGAACTGAGATCATGGCCAATGGCTGCCGGCTTTGTATCGCTCTTCTTCTTAATTGCAATGCGAATAGGAAAAATGAAAAAAGGTTGATATTTTGCTCTATCCATTATATTTTTAATTTTGGGCTGTACGAAAATTCACTATGATATAGTAATTTTCTGTTGACTATTCTGTGATTATTATGAACTTAGCAGATGATTTTTATTTTTGGGCTATACTTGTTTCTAAATTTTCTGATTTTATGTATGCTACTATAGCAGTATAGTGTTAAATGTTTGACTATTTGGTTTCATAGTTATGGATGAGTGATTTTTATTATTCAAATTTCAATCAAAATATTCTCTCTTGTTAATGCATATTACATGTTTGATGAAATGTTTCATATACAAGGCAATACATACTAAATCTTTCTTCAAAATATTTTTTATATAAAATTCAGAATTTATTCACAAATATGACAATGAGTTCAATAATGAATAAGAAAAGAGTTCAATAAATATGTATCAAACCGACAACCACAGTCCGAATAAAACCAATGGAACAACAATAGTGGGTATTATGGATACCCTCCTGGATATGAATCATATGGTTACCTGGTGCTCAGGATCCAAATATGTACTATGGAGCTTCCAACAGCAGCATCAGGGATACACTGGGTAAGCCGCTCTTTTCTGTTGACTTCAAATGTGGGGTATGACAACTGGTGTGCGATTCGAGTGTAATATATGGCTAAGACTATTACTTTGGATACTTCCTTTAGACTAGGTAAGGCTGGTAGTTACTTGTCTCATGATTCGGTGTATTGGGACTAATGTTCCTTTTCAGTAGCTTAGTGCATTTGCTTGACTGCGTGTCTCTTTTCGTAATACATTTTTTAGTAAAAAAAATTGAGACTAATATTACTCGTGTTTATATTATTGATATTTTTGGTTGCAGTTTAAATTATACCATATGTTCATTGTTTGAATACAAGTCGTGTTTTCTTCTTCTCCTACAAGTTGTTTAATACAATGATTTTGTATAGCTAGGCATTCCACCTCATTTTGGGCAACTTGTATTTTTTGGAACATAGAGATAGAGTGACCAGTTCAGAAAAGGTCTTCTTTAACTCACTCAGAATGCTCCTACTCCTTTACTATAAGCTTGATAAATGTTGTCTAATTAACTTTCTTTAGCTTCTTAATTTTGGCACTAAATTTGTCATTGATATGATATGAATGAAAGTCGTGTTACAATATTGTCTATTTATGTACTGGATTGCTCATTAATTCATTACTTGCAAGTCGAAAACAATTTAAGGATTAACACTGTAATGTCAATTGGGTGCAGAGTCTTAGAAAATGTAAATCGGGTGGAGTACGCTTCCATGATTCGAAAGAATGAAAGGTGATGGCCATTTCAAGCGCAAAAGACGTGCCAGAGACCGAATTGCTACCACAAAGGAGTGTTCATTTGTTGGAAAGAGGAAAATTCATTTGTTGGAGTGTTTTTCATTATGTAATAAGATTTTGATTATTGACATATTGGTCATGCATATTGGTTAGGGCCATTTTGATTCTCCTTTTTTTAATTTATTGTATCTTAAGAGAATGTCCTAATTCTAGGGGTGATCAATATGCTTTGCCTTTGTAATCCCATCTATTTAGCTGTTGATTGGTTTTAATATCTAATTAAATGTTAATTATGTTTAAACAATGTTTACTCTTCAATATTATTTTTATCTTTACTTACTTAAAGTTTACATACTCAAAGAAGAAATAGGTGTGTCTGCCCAGAAAGAAGGGGCATACACACCTATTTTACTTGCTTAAAGTTTACATACCCAAAGAAGAAATAGGTGTGTGTGCCCATAAATAGGTGTTGAGTGTGCTATGTACTTACTTACCATACATGTTACCCGACATTTTATGTCTAGTTTAGAGACACTTTTACTATGCACTTTACTCCATTCTAGTAATTATTGCTTATTACAAGACACTTTATGTTTGGTCCACAAACAATTTGACTTATCTCATTAGCCCATTCCAGTGACTCTTGTTTGTGACTAGATAGTGCATGTCTGGTTCACAGACAACTTCACTTACCCAAATAGATGAATTGATTGAAGTTATTGTAGAACTTTAAATATGTTTTCATATAAGTAAGGAGTATAATTTTTCAATAATTCAGTTAATTCATCCGCTTCAGCTTGAGCATCAATTATAACTTATTAAACTAATTCAACCGCTTCAACATAAAATTAAGAATCTCGTTTAAAAAAATTCACTTTGCAGATTAACTTGTTTCAGTCACTATTGTTTGTAACTAGACACTTCAAGTCGCGTTCACAGACAATCCCAATTAACATATTGGGATGTTCCAGTGGTTATTGCCTGTAGCCGGACATTTTGTGTCTGGTTCACAGACAATTCCGCTTTGCACATGAGCTCATTAGCCCAATTCAGTGGCTATTGTTTGTGGCCAGACACTTCATATCACGTTCACAAACACTTTCACTTAGTACATTAGGTCCGTTCAAATGGCTATTGTCTGTAACTAGACAGTTCATGCCTGCTTCACAGGTAATTCCACTATCGTACTAATTGAAAATGTCTGTGAACCTGCTATGAAGTGTTTGGCCACAAACAATAGTCACTTGAATGGGCTAATGAGTTAATGTGCTAAGTGAAATTGTCTGTGAACCAGACATGAAATGTCCGGCTACAGGCAATAGCCACTGGAACGAGCAAATGTGCTAATAGGAATTGTCTGTGATCGTGACATGAAATGTCTTGTTACAAACAATAACCACTGAAACAAGTAAATCTGCCAAGTGAATTATTTAACCAAGATTCTTAATTTCATAAACACCTATTGTCCATAGATATAATAGAGAATCAAGTATGAAAAGAGATTTTAGGTAAGTTTCTTTTTCATGCAAACCATTTTATTTGGGCATATTAACATAACTTGCGAATAAGAAAATTGAAAGTTAGTTACAACCAACATCATGTATTAATTATCTTTTAGCTATTTTGCAAGATGTTTAACACTTTCATGATTTACATCTATTAAGTACTTATTTAATAATTATAACGAATACAAACTAAATATCTAACAGTGTATATAACTTACTTCACCAACATTGAAGTGTTACTTTCTTTTTCATTACACAAAAGATACATCTTTCGAAACATAAATCACACCTAATACAATTCCATTAATTCTAAATGCAAAAACATTAACTTTACAAGCATAAATCCTTTGTTGTCTTTTGGGTTGGAGCAGGTATAGTAGTCAAAAAGATAGTGGAGATTCAACATATTCCCAATCTCTGGAGGAATGGACCCTGCTAATTTTTTCTGTGTAGATACCTGCTGTCAAGAACAATATAATAGTCACGATAAAAGATAACCCGTGATTTAGGAAATAATACCGACAATCAACTTTTATTTTGTTCAAATATCAAGTCCTTATAGCAGCAAACAGTTGAGAATGATACTTATTCAAAAAATGCTCTGTGTACATGCATACATGCCAATGTGATATGTGGGTGGAATATATGAGTTGTTTACAATTTTTCAGTGCAAGTCAACTTACTCACGATTGGCCGGAGGAATGGAACCACTAAGCATGTCGCAACTTAGATCCCTAACATACATAAAATCTGAAAAATTAGAAAGAAATATTTCTCTATAAAAAACATGTAGCAAATTCATAATAATCAAAGAATAGGCAATCAAAAATTACTACGGAGTGTATCATAGTCAAATTGGAAAACAGAAATAGTAGAGTCTAAAATTCATTACACACTAATTTACTTTGACAAAAACGAGAACAAATTGATGAATTTGAACAAAAAGTTCATTGAGACATTTCAACAAACATATCATGAGCATTAATGAACTAGAGTAATTATCCTAAAATTGCAATAATTAACACTTCAAATCTCTTATACTAAAACAAATTAAGCAACTATTCAAGATTATAACACACCTAATACACATAAAATCGGAACAAACATATATAAAAAGCAAAGCACACAAGAAAAAAAGGAACTAAATATTACCTGATGATTTGAGAATGGCCAACCGTATACAAAAATGGACCGTATATGACAATTACATGAGGAGAATGATTGAAAATGATTTAGAAATTACATGGGAGAAAGATTGAAAATGAAAGAATTGAAAAAAAAGAGAAAGAAGAGAGCATGATGAGCGCAGATGCGGGAGAATTGAATGAGAGAAGAGAATGACCAAAAGGGAGAGAGAGGCAAATGAGTAAAAGATGAAATTGGAATGGTAAAAAAAGAAGAAGTATATATATGATGTACAACTTGTGTACACTTTGTGTACCACAAGCAAAATTGTTACGAGTATTGTGATGACGGTCGATGTACCACCGAAGGGTAAAAAAGGAATAGGGATAACATTCCGCTAATTTTATTAAAACCTGTGCAAAAGGTAAATGTATCATACTTTTTGGGACTGAGGGAGTATATGTCCAATGATATTGTTAATATTATTTAAAAAAAAGTTTTGTCCAAAAAAAAACAAAAAAAATTTAAAAATGTTTAAATATGATTTAGTCCCTGTAAATATAGTACTCCCTCCATCCTAAAGAAATTAAAGATTTCCACTCTTTGTTTTTTGACCTCCCATATAAATGTTCTCATTTTCATTTTAGGTAACCATTAACAACTTTAAATGACAAATTACTCATTAAATATTAGAAGTAATATATTTATAACATCATAATTATCAACGCTATATAAATTGTCTCGAGACATCCTTCCCATGACAAAACAGCACGACTTTTGACAATATAACAATGGGCTTGGCTTACTTTTATGATTATTGCATTTAATTACTTGAGTTTGGAAACATGCTTAAAAACAGTACTCCATATAGGTCCCAAAGTTTGGTGTCTTGGCTCTGTAATTTGCCGCAATTAAACTGCCGCACTGTCACTATATATAGTTATTCGATCTTCATATATTCTCCAAAGCACTAATATACGTATAAGCTTTTCTTGCTTATTCCATGGCTCCAACACAGTCTTTAGTTTTCACGGTGAAGAGGCGGACGCCGGAGCTTGTTTCTCCGGCAGAGCCGACGCCTAGAGAAGTTAAGTATCTATCCGACATTGATGACCAGGACGGGTTGAGGTTTCAGATGCCAATCATACAATTCTACGGCCACCATCCGTCCATGAACGGGAGGGACCCCGTGAAGGTGATCCGGGAAGCACTGGCGAAAGCTATGGTGTTTTACTACCCCTTCGCCGGGAGGCTCCGGGAGGGTGTTGGCCGGAAACTTATGGTGGATTGCACCGGGGAGGGGATCGTGTTTATCGAGGGCGATGCTGACGTCACGTTGTCGGACTTCGGAGATGCCCTACAACCTCCATTTCCATGCGTGGAGGAGCTTCTTTATGATGTTCCTGGCTCCGGTGATATTCTCAACTCTCCTTTGCTTCTCATTCAGGTACATATACGTCAATACGTGCTTATACCATTTCATGTGATGCCATAAAAGATGGGACGATTCCGTAAATAAACATAAAAGGGAAATTGAAAAATATAATACCAGTATTTCAATTTAAGGTTGGTCTAGTCTTCTACGGTCAATGTATATTGTTTATACGGAGTAATATTTTATGGTATACGAAGTACTAGTATTACATAGGGAGTACTCCCTCCGATCCGTCCCTAAATAAACTTCCATTTCGCTTTTCGAGGGTCAACTTAAATCACACTTAAACTCTTACTTTTTGTATCAAAATTTTATAAAAAGTGAATTATTTTTTGCAGGCTTTGTAGCGGGTTTGATGTAGTTTCTGAATATGTAAATTTTATTTTCTAAAAATAATCTGAATTTTCACAGGGATCATTTAACTTTATCGCTGGTCAAACATCGTAACCCGTAATTGGAAGTTTAATATGGGACGGAGGTAGTATATCTTAACTTTTATCAAATTCGATTTTTTTGTGACTTCATAAGATTTTTAATGTAATTTTTGAACATGTAAATTTTATTATTGACATAAAGCTCTTCCCAGAACCGATGAGGGAGTAATATTTGTTAAAATTATTGACCATGGTTTACAAATCAAAAAGGGGTATCAAAGATGCCCAGAATCGATGACGGAGTAAAATTTGTTGAACCTTTTTTTGTTTGTTCGGGGTGTGAAGTGGCTCTTTTTTTAGTTCTTGAGCTTACACGATCGATAGAGTGCCTATTTTCTGTGTTTGCTGTGCAGGTCACCCGCCTGAGATGTGGTGGCTACATCTTCGCATTGCGTCTGAACCACACCATGACCGATGCATCAGGTCTTGTCCAGTTCATGACCGCCATTGCTGAAATAGCGCGGGGCGCCCCTGCTCCGTCGGTGCTCCCAATTTGGCAAAGAGAACTCTTAAGTGTGCAAAAACCTCCACGTGCCACGCCGGCGGCGTACACCCACCACGAATACGACCAAGTTCCGGACTCAAAGGGAACCACCATACCCACATATAAGATGGTGCAGCGTTCTTTCTTCTTTGGACCGACGGAGCTCGCCGCTCTCCGCCGTCTCCTCCCCACCCACTTATTCAACTGCTCGACCTTCGAGATTCTAACGGCGTGCCTGTGGCGCTGCCGCACTGTCGCCTTCCGACCTGACCCGGAAGCGGAGGTTCGGATGCTTTGCATCGTCAACGCCCGGTCCAGATTTAGTGACCCTCCCTTACCGGAAGGCTACTACGGTAATTCGTTGGCGTTCCCGGTGGCGTTAACCACCGCGGAGGAACTGATGAAGAATCCATTGGGATATGCGGTGGAGCTGGTGAAGAAGGCCAAATCTGATGTGAGCGAAGGGTACATGAGGTCGGTGGTGGACATGTTGGTACATAGGGGGCGGCCACATTTCACGGTGGTGGGGACCTATCTTGTTTCCGACGTGAGACGGGTCGGGTTCAGCGAGGTAGATTTCGGGTGGGGCAAAGCGGTTTACGGCGGACCTGCTAAAGGAGGTGTGGGTGACTTCCCTGGACTTGGTAGCTTCTATATACCATGCAAAAATGGAGTTGTAGTTCCAGTGAGCTTACCTACCTTTGCAATGGAAACATTCATCAAGGAGTTGGATGATATGCTAGTAAAGAGACACAATGAAAGTTACACTCACATCAGATCTGCACTTTGATTTCTTAGCCAAATAAGAATGGAGTATAGTCACTACTAACTCACTATCTTAATTTTTGGATTTGGAATAGCCAAAAAAAATTAGTTCATACACTATTCCATCCCATTTACCCCACCTTATCAACTTTTCTTTCCATCTTCCAAATACTCTGTCATTTTTCCTTTTTTCGCAGTTCTTATTATTTCTGTTACTATTACAACAATCTAATTTTAATTTCTTATTTTAATGTCAAATGTGTGATACTTCGTGAGAAATTTAAATGATCTGTTCCATTTGGTGAACGATTGTGTGGTTGCCTGAGAGGTAACATAACTTTAGAATCAAGTTTAGCAAGAGGAATATTGTTGGAAATATGGCGATATAAATATATGTACTTATAAGTTTGGGATAGTTTATTACTACGTAACATTTTATGATTAGTGGACTGGAAGGATCTGCCTCATTTGGAAGACTCTTGGGAGGAGTTGCTACAGTTCCAGTGCATGTTTCCAGACTTTCATCTTGAGGACAAGGTGAGTTTTGAAGGGGGGGAGTGATATACGAGCTCAACTTAGTACCAAATTAATCCCAATAAGGATTTTTCTAAGGTATATACCCATAAGGGTAAAAGAGAGAATATAGTGGCAAAAAAGAACGTGGAGACATAACTAACGAAGAGTGAGGGGTCAGGATGGCGGAAAGAAGAGAATAAAGAGTAACCGAAGAAAGAGTGGACGGCAGTTAGGAATTTGGGCAAAACTTGGTGGGAGAGAGATCCTCTCGAATTGATCTCAGTCTGTATTTTCTTCTTTCATTGCATCTATTTTTGGGTACGTAAACTATGTTATTGTAATTCCAGACTTTCAGTGGCAATATACGTCATATTTAGTGGTTGTGTTGATCAGTTTCTATCATTATCATTATTATTATCGTTATATGCTAGCTTTCCAGAAAATAGCAAATTTTGGACAATATCATGTCATGTGCAAAAATGTTTTCATGAAAAGTAAGATGTTTTATGTATAATATTATTTTCGAGACATTAGATGTGATTATGTTGTTTTTAAAACAGGAATTGCTACAAGTGCTCTCCAATCCGATGTCACGTGAAGAAGAGAATTGAAAGGGAGAAAGAAGATCTAAGTTATGTCATAACAACCTACTGAGCGTACCCATAACCATTGAAGGTCACCTGACCATGACAACAACGGAGAAACTCACTGATGCTACGTTCCCATCCAGAATGAAAAAATTCACATTATAAAATTACTATCCTTTTCCTTCTAAATAAAACTTTCTGCAGTTTTTGGCATTGTTGTAGTGAAACTGGATGGGAACACAACACTATTCAGAGATAAATGATCACTTCTATGAATTCTCCCTTTATGTATCTAAATATAGCAAGATTAGGAATTCCCTTGTATTTAAATGCTTCATGATGTTTGAATAGCTCTGCTCCATGGCTAAAGAGCTCTGCTCCATGGCTAAAGAGCTCTCCCTTAAAGACTCTAGATACTCAGACAAAGTTCCTGAAAGTGTCTTCTTACACTGATTCTGTGGCTCATTACTTGGCAAGGACGTAGGAGTGACTGAAACATTTGTATTCGTAAATTGTGGGGAGGATGAAGAAGGGTATGCAGTTTCCCGGAAAGGATGGTCATATAGAGGTTTGATGGGGCAAAGACATAAATGGTGACCTCCTCCACACAAGGAACAAATGCTATCCTTAAAACATTCAGATATTTCCTCAGGCGTTTTAGTTTGAAGAATAAATTCAAGAATGGAGCCTGGTCTTACGCTCACCCAAGGGTATTGTGATGAAGGATAGTAAGAATCGGAATGAAAAGGTTGCGTGGGTGGAGTGTATGGATAAGAAGGCTGAATATTTTGTGGTGTACGAGAGTAATATTGATGAGGTGTGTAAAGTTGAGGAGGAGGAGGAGTGTAAGGAGGGTATGGCGTATATGGTGAATATTCCATGGAGGTTTGAGGGTAAGGAATTCCTCCAGAAATTTGGCTGAATAGGTTCATCTCATGCCTCTTAGAAAAATACCTGAAAGGTTAGCACAGAAAAATCCTACGGAAAACAAAAAGAAAACTAACTAAAAAAATCTCGCTGAAATTAATTAACCCGGCCTTAAAACCGACACCGTCCCCGGCAACGGTGCCAAAAACTGATGTGTGTTTTCTCGCACTTAAACTAGATCGTAATATAGTGGTGTAAGTACGAGTATCGTCTCCACAGGGACGGACAAAAGGGAATCAATAATTAATTAAATTCAGCGATTAAAAGAAATAAAATAAAAGCGTCGTGCGAGATTGGTTGGTTTGGAAAATAAAACTAATGCGGACAATTAAACTAGGGGGTTCTTTCTAATTAATGACGAAGGGAACAAATATCGATTCCGGGGTAACCAGATTTCTGGCAGATCAGGCCTAATTACATGAAATTAATTTAATTGAGCCTAGCTAATCATTACTAAGTTCTTACCGCTCTCGCGGCGTAGAGTACAATAATTTAGGGGACCAGGCTGATCTCTCATGCGACAGGATCCTAAATTATTGCCAAAACGAGTGAGCTTACGGCCCCTTAATCGCTACTAATCTCTTAGCGAACGATTAAGTGTGTGTGAATGTGTCCTAGAACAAATTAGATCTCTCTTAATTTATTCTACATGCAATTGTAATTCTACTCGTGATTCTAGGTTACAAAAGATATCAATTAAATTATTCTAACACAAATTAAACGGCATTCATGCAATAATCGAAAAGAATCTAGTCATACATCATGATTAACCCCTTCATCAATCCCAAATCCCTAATTAAAACTACTCACAATTCATAATTGAAGAATCAATAGAATTGGAATAAAAAGAATTAATTGTCATTAATTAAAAAAGGTGGAACTTACAAAGAATCCCAAAAGATTGATGAACAAGGCTGAAAATCCCTCTAAAATTCGTGCTAGGCACTCTCTCTAAGCTCCCCCCTTGAAAACGGGGGTTTACAGGCTGTTTAAATAGAAAAATCGGGTGAAATTTGAGCTGAATTAGGATTTTCGGAGCCAGATGACATTCATGTTATTTCCATGTTTAAATTTGTGTTTTTGATTAGTTTGAGTGATTGTTACTCTGGAAATTACACACTTTTGGTGTAATAGTTTAGTTTGTAAAATGTTTGTAAAATTGTTTAGATTAGGTTGATTCTGAGCTCAAACAGGTCCAAGACCACTTTAGGGACCATTGGTGAACATCACAAGTTGAAGGAAGGTGCAAAAATTCCTAGAAAAAATGAAGATCCTGATTTTTGGTGTTGTACCCGGTCGAGTATGACCTATACTCGATCGGGTAAGTCGCTGAAAAATCAAATCGGATCAACCCGGGAACAAGGCAACATGCAGAGGAGATTTTAACCACGATCGAGTGTCTATACCCGATCGGGTAGCCGACATACCCAATCGGGTATGTCCATGTTTTTCCAACTTCCGCGAAGCAACTGAAGGCCCGATCGAGTACCCTACATACCCGATCGGATACACGACCCTGCAGGCCTAAAAATCCTATAAATACACCCCATTTCCTCCACATAAATCACCAATTCCTATATACTTCTAAGCTCAGTTTAAACAAGTTATTTCTTTATATTTTTTTCATGTTTAGTCTCCAAATGAGGAGCTAAACTCTTCCATCTTGGTTTTGCAACTTTGAAGCTTAATGATTTGTAAGTTGTGAGTTATTTTCTTTAATCTTCTTCCTTGAATATTAATTACTTCCTATTCATATTCCATATTAATATTTGAGCATTGCTTAAAGGATCAATTAGTTTTGTTTCATATATTAATTATTACTAAAATCAATCGGTTAATACGCTTGTTATTAATTCGGTTCTTTCAATGGTAGTACACTTGGGTTGTTAATGCATGCTTCTCATGATTAATAAGCCAAGAGGAATTAATTATATTGATTAAACCAATAAACCGCTTGTGTTGAGGTTATCAATCTCAATCGTTTTTCATCTTAAGTTTATTGCTACTATCAAGTTAATATACGGCGCTTGTTCCATATTGACTTGATAGTAAGTTTTATTAATGAACGCATCTCGTTATTAATAACTACCCTCGATGAACTGGATATACTCCTCGATTGAGTATTCGAGAGGAAGATAGTTAAAGATATAACCGGGATCGACGAATATTTCATTAAGTGGATAAAAGCAAAGCCAAGTCTTTTTCTTATTAATTAAACCACATAACTCGTTCATCTTCGTGTTTAAAGATAATTTAAGTTCATTTACTCAATCTAAAACCCCCCCTTGTTACTAGTTTATAAAGAGAGAAGTATTCCTTTCCCTGTGGATACGAACCTTACTTCGTTATACTACGTATAATTGTTGTATTGTATTATTATTTTGAGTGCACACAACGACAAAGTGCACGTCAAATTTGGCACCATTGCCAGGGAAAGGCAATTATTTTTCTTTTTATTTTATTTCAAGAAAAAAAAATAATTAACTAAAAATATAAAGTGTTCTTATTTTTCTATTTCTGAGCTTTGTGAAGTATATGGTCCGATATCGTTCCATAAACGAAATCACTTATCAAGCAAACCCCGAAATAGAACAAGCCTTCGAGAGGTTGAGAAATTTATTTCCGCACACACCCTCGGAGGAATCCTCTAACGCTAGCTCTAGTTCTAGCGAATTTGAAGAGCCAATCACTATGGCTCAAGAAACAAGAACTTTGAGGGAGCTCACAGCTCCGAACTTAAATCAACAACCATTATGTATTACCTTCCCTACACTCAACGAGGGTAATACATTTGAGCTGAAATCTGGGCTCATTCATCTTTTGCCGTCCTTCCATGGTCTACGAGGGGAGGATCCAAATAAACACCTCTCGGAGTTCCATGTTGTATGTACAAGCATGTGTCCTAATGGAGTCACCGAGGAGCAAATCAAATTGCGGGCTTTCCCATTCTCACTCAAGGACACCGCAAAGGATTGGCTATTCTATCTTCCTTCGGGAAGTATAGACACATGGACGGCAATGAAAAAGGCTTTCCTTGAAAGGTACTATCCCGCCTCTGTCTCTTCATCTCTCAAAAAGCAAATCAGCAATGTGGAGCAAAATGATGATGAATCATTCTACGAATATTGGGAACGATTCAAGAAACTGTGTGCAAGCTGTCCATACCACGGCTACTCGGAGCAAGACCTCATTCTATACTTTTATGATGGTCTTTGCAATGATGATAGACGAATGATCAACGCCGCATGTGGAGGAGGAATCGTCAACAAAACTCCCTCTCAAGCTATGAATCTTATCTCGGAATTGGCCGAGAATTGTAGATATCACAATGGGAGGTCATCCAAAAAACGAGTGATGGCGGCAGAATCCAACACCTCGTTGGAAAGTCAAGTTGCCGGCTTGACTTCTTTGGTTAAGGATTTCCTTTTAAATTCCAAGACCCAAGAAGTCAAGGTCTGCAGCATTTGCACACAGCAAGGGCACCCAACCGACTCATGCCCAACACTACAAGAAGACAACTCCGAGCAAGTCAATGCTTTGGGGTTCCGAAAGCAAAAGAGATATGATTCTTACAGCAACACTTATCACCCTGGGTTTAGAGATCACCCCAATCTCTGTTATGGGAATCCGTAAGGAAACCCACAACAAAATAACCCTCCACCAAATCAATTTCCTCCAAATAAACAACCGTACTCTAAACCCCAAGGCCAAGGCTCAACTATGTCCACCGAAGACATGATCCGAGCACTCACCTCAAATGTCTCAACCATGCAACAAAGCATGGTTCAATTCCAACATGAGACAAAATCAAGCATCCAAAACCTTGAGAATCAAATGAGCCAAATCTCAAGTGCGGTGAGTAGG